AGCCCAGCCCCCCCTGGGAAAAGAGAGGTCTCAGAGGGAGCCTAAGGGAACTCATGTGGCCATTTGGTCACCAGACGAACTTCCACCCCAACCAAGCAGCTGCTGGGACAACAAAGCCTGAACCTTCAGACCTATCAGGACAAAACACAGCACAGGGGTAACTGTCATGCTTCTTCCTGCCACTATTACTGGCTCTAACACATCCCTTTCCCTTGTGAGATTTGCAGTGTTCCCCACCATCACCTTCTTCAGCTGAGCCAACCTCGAGGATGTCTGCTGCCAAACTCTCCACCCTGACCCAAGCCCCTTCACTACCAAGAACAGTCAGGAAGTTTCCACTCTTGTCCCTCATATTCAACATGTTCTGAGCCTTTGCTTCCATGATCCCACCACTTTTTCCTCTGCCCAATGCTCTATCCAGTTTCCTTCTACGCCTGTCTTCACACCTCGTTCCTGCCGCCCTGTACAGCTACAGTGTCTCTAGCTTTGCCCAGCTATGTCTCAGCTCTCCAAATGCTCAAATTCCTCTTGCAAATGGCTTTTCCTTACAGTATTCAGCAGCAACCCAACCCTCCTTTTCCTCCTCTGTTGAAACCAGAGCAAACGGCATCATTATGAGTCCAGGCATCAATCCATCCAGCACAAGGGCTGGTCCAATCAGACCATGACAAGAAATGATGACTGCACACTGTAAGCGCTTATTAAACAAAGCAATCAACATTGACAAGAGCAGAAAACATATTATTTTATAATAGCTGCTCTAGATACTAGTCAGATGTAGCCACTTGCTCCCTGTAAGGGATGATATCCCATACCAGGTCCACTAGACAGGCAATGTCTGGCAATGGGCAAGCCTCATGATTGGGCATTAGTCACATCACACCTCTGAAGCCACCAGCTCCTGGGTGAATTCTTTCGTTTTTCATGCCCCTCACAGCTGTGGTACTATCCTCCACCTAAGCTGCCGCTCCTTTTTGCCCAGCCAGGACAGTGGAAAGAGATGAGCTCCCATTTTCCCTACCATGCATGGAAGGCGGAGATGCTCTGTAAACCCTTTCTGGCAGAGGGGGGCGAAGGGTCAGACATCACCCCCTCTCCACCTTTTTATGGGGGCAGGACTCCACTCATAAAACCAACTCTCACCCTTCCCATTGACTCCACACCAGCATGGTGCTGCCCTAGAAGGAAGGCTTTATCCACACTGGCTTACTGCAAGGACCAGTGCGCCTCCACCAGCAGCATCCTCACACCCTGGAGGGAACAGAGACCTCCCTGAAAACTTAGGGCACAGTGAACAACCCACTGCCGCCTGTGTAACTCAAGTGCACTTTGCCCCTCAAGGTAATGTGGCAAGCAGGCACACAAGCAAGCAATACCTAATGCTGACGTTAGCAATGAGTCATCTCAGAGCTGTGCTGGCTTCTTCCAGGCATGAAAAACATCCCTAACGGAGAGCAAAACACAGGCTGCACGCAAGAAGACCCAGTCTGATTAACACCCCATCATCAGTCTCCACACAGATCTCTGTTCTGGCTTCACAGAGGCTGGCAAAGGAAACACTGCAATGCAAACCAGGGGTCAGGGAATATCCCCCCTCCCTCTCCGTTACATACAACCATCACATCCCTTGTAGGACAGAGGAGGGCAAACTGGAGCCCAGAACAAGCATCATGCAGGAAATGACTTGATGGGAGAAGGATCCAGAGTGTTCACTCCTTCCTGCTTGCTCTATTACAGTCAATAATCCTCCCCCAGATGTAATGGTTTCCTGTTTGTCCAGATGCTTTGATCCACTGAATCACTGCTTATCTCCAGGTCACCTATATCGGGTTTTTATCTGGAGAAGGGGAGGCCAAAGGACCAGCTGCTGACTAAAAAACATGGTCCTGGTGTGTTCCTGACCACTTGCTTTCTTGAAACACTGAGAAGCAAGTTACAGGATGAAGAAAAAAGCAACAAAACAATAAAAAACGATGCTAGTGAAGGTTAAAATTCAGGGCTAATGCTCATAAAAGCATGAAACAGGTCATCACCAGAATACAGCAAGGACTTTAGAAACTCCACTAAGCTACTGTGATCCAAGACCATCCCTTCACCTCTGTCAATGCACTATTTCTTGAGAGCTTGACTCAAATTTGAGATTTCCCGTAGCTGTGGACAGGTAGGGTAGGAAATGTCAGAAGACAGAAAGCACAAGTCATGCTCTTATTCCAGACTACACAGAAATACTCAGGTAAAGGCAGCAGCAGGAGCTTACAGTGGCAGAATAAAATATCTGAGTGACACTGAGGAACAACAACTTACTGCCTGATCTTGTCATTCCTCGGTCCAAATCTTGGTCCAGAAGGTCCTCTCCTACAGGCAGAAAAGAGAGCAATGAGGATGGAAGACACAAGAAAAAACATGTGTTAAAACCATACTTGAAAGACGTGTGAGAGAGAATCAACGCCTTGTGGACAGAGGATTGTTCTCATACCTTCTTTCAGTCCCTCCCAAGTCTTAGGAGATTTGGGACACCCCACTCTAATAAAGGTCACACCTGTTAAGTCCTAATTCACGCTCAATGCCAAGGCTCTGGGAGATCATCTCAAAGGAATCAAAGGTTTTGATCCTCAAGCCCCCACGTATATGGCAGGGACGGCTTTCGGTATTTGACACCTCCGGTCTCGGAGACATAGGCAGTTAAGACATTGCATTCCCTCCAGGGGCCGTTCAGGAACTCACAAGAAAAAGTCCTCCTCTTCATCCGAATCTTCCTCCAACAGGTTCCTCTGCAAACACAGAAGAAAAACCAAACCACCTCGTCAATAAGCAGCCACCATTTCACACACACTTTGCCAGTCCTTAGGATGCAATCAGCATCTTCCAATGGCAGGTTACACGTGAGCCCTCCTTTGGAGAGCATCAGAGGTACCTTTTAGGTGTCTGTCTCCGCTTGCGGCCAAGGGCCAAGCTGGATGTCCCTGTGCCACTATAATCATCTCAGTGGTGTTTGCTAGCTCTGTACAGCTCAGACCGATGCACAGCTCTGACCTGGGACAGCTCACACCCCTGCCACTGAGCCAAACTGGATTAGCGTCAATAGCCAGTTGCCTGCACAGGTTCAGATCCCAAATCTAGGGATCCATACAACTCCCTGCAATGCAGAAGCAACCACTGTGTCAGCCCTGCCTTGGAAAGCAGCAGACAGAGCCCCTGCACAGGCCAGCGATGGAAGAAAGGCCCTCTTTGCTGAAGGGACAACCCCCAGTGCTGCACTCAGTCAACGGCAGCTGCTCAAAAACCATCATCACCACCTACAACCACCCTGGGGTGTCCCAGCCACAAGAGAAGTCAGATCCACTCCTGAGCTAGAGTACGTGTTTTTCCCAGCCATCCGATGGCAGCAGGCATAAGAAGGACAGCTGCAAGGAAACACGCTGGGCTCGCCGCACAGCGCATCCAGAGGGGTCGGCCTCTCCAAACCTCCAACTTGAGCACAGGCTATGGCCAGGCTGGAACACAGAGCACTCTGGTAGCTCCTCTGCTTCGCACCAAAGGGCTTCTCCTGGGCTCGGATTTGCTGTTCCACTACACCTCATGGGACGATCTAAAGGGTGGTTTTTAAAAGCAACCCCACAAACCCACTTAAGCCTGAAAGTTTCAGACAAAGACATTATTAGGAGAATGTCAGGAGGATGAAGCCAAGCTCTTCTCAGTGATAGCCAACGACAGGACAAGGAGCAGTGGGTGCAAGCTGGAGCATAGGAAGTTCCAGGTAAACATAAGAAAAAGCTTTTTCACTGTGAGGGTGACAGAGCACTGGCCCAGGCTGCCCAGAGAGGTTGTGGAGTCTCCTTCTCTGCAGACATTCAAAACCTGCCTGGACACCTTCCAGTGTGACCTGGTCTGGGTGATCCTGCTCCGGCAGGGGTTGGACTGGGGGAGCTTTTGAGGTCCCTTCCAGCTCCTAACATTCTCTGATTACAGTTCATTTTTCATACCTGGGCAACATAATCCAATTGAGCTGACGGCTCCCAGTAACATCTACTTAGTGTCAAAAATAATCAAAAGGGGGAAGTGGCATGTTAAATGTGTGGGCCTAGGGACACGTCGGATGGTCCTTATGGTACCAACAGCTGCTTCTTTTCCTGTGCATAAACTTGGGCTCCCATCTGCAAGTCCAGTGCTCTCATTCTGAAGCTTACCTACATCTCTATCCTTGTCACATTTGCTCCATCAACTTAAGTAACCCACGACACCACGCAACAGTTTCAGCCGTGGCATGTTAAATGTGTGGGCCTAGGGACACGTCGGATGGTCCTTATGGTACCAACAGCTGCTTCTTTTCCTGTGCATAAACTTGGGCTCCCATCTGCAAGTCCAGTGCTCTCATTCTGAAGCTTACCTACATCTCTATCCTTGTCACATTTGCTCCATCAACTTAAGTAACCCACGACACCACGCAACAGTTTCAGCCATCGT